CCCCGACGCCGGGCCCAGAGCCCCCCCGATGGCCCCCCAGCGCCCACCCCTCCGGGGCCCAGAGCCCCCCGACAGCCCCCCAGCGCCCACCCGTCCCGGGCCCAGAGCCCCCCCCCAACGGCCCCCCGACGCCGGGCCCAGAGCCCCCCCGACAGCCCCCCAGCGCCCACCCCTCCCGGGCCCAGAGCCCCCCCGACAGCCCCCCAGCGCCCACCCCCTCCCGGGCCCAGAGCCCCCCCGACAGCCCCCCAGCGCCGGGCCCAGAGCCCCCCCGACAGCCCCCCAGCACCCACCTCTCCCGGGCCCAGAGCCCCCCCCGACAGCCCCCCAGCACCCACCCCTCCCAGGGCCCAGAGCTCCCCCGATGGCCCCCCAGCGCTGGGCCCAGAGCCCCCCGACGACCCCCAGCGCCGGGCCCAGAGCCCCCCGATGGCCCCCAGCACCCACCTCTCCTGTGCCCAGAGCCCCCCCAACGGCCCCCCAGCACCAGGCCCAGAGCCCCCGACAGCCCCCAGGCCCACCCTCCGGGCCCAGAGCCCCCCGACGGCCCCCCAGCACCGGGCCCAGAGCCCCCCAACAGCCCCCCCAGCACCAGGCCCAGAGCCCCCCCGACAGCCCCCCAGCTCCCACCTCTCCCGGGCCCAGAGCCCCCCCAACAGCCCCCCAGCACCCACCCCTCCCAGGGCCCAGAGCCCCCCCCGACAGCCCCCCAGCACCCACCCCTCCCAGGGCCCATAGCCCCCCCGACGGCCCCCTAGTGCCCACCCCCTCCCGGGCCTAGAGCCCCCCGACAGCCCCCCAGCGCCCACCCCTCCCGGGCCCAGAGCCCCCCGACCCTCTCCCGACGGCCCCCCAGCGCCCACCCCTCCCGGGCCCAGAGCCCCCCCGACACCCCCCCCAGCGCCGGGCCCAGAGCCCCCCCGACGGCCCCCCCAACGCCCACCCCCTCCCGGGCCCAGAGCCCCCCTGACGGCCCCCCAGCGCTGGGCCCAGAGCCCCCCGATGGCCCCCCAGCGCCGGGCCCAGAGCCCCCCCGATGGCCCCCAGCACCCACCTCTCCCGTGCCCAGAGCCCCCCCAACGGCCCCCCAGCACCAGGCCCAGAGCCCCCCCCGACAGCCCCCCAGCTCCCACCTCTCCCGGGCCCAGAGCCCCCCCGACAGCCCCCCAGCACCCACCCCTCCCAGGGCCCAGAGCCCCTCCCGACAGCCCCCCAGCACCCACCCCTCCCGGGCCCAGAGCCCCCCCGACGGCCCCCCAGCGCCCACCTCTCCCGGGTCCAGAGCCCCCCCAACGGCCCCCCAGCGCCGGGCCCAGAGCCCCCCCCCCCCCGATGGCCCCCAGCACCCACCTCTCCCGTGCCCAGAGCCCCCCGACGGCCCCCCAGCGCCGGGCCCAGAGCCCCCCGATGGCCCCCAGCTCCCACCTCTCCCGGGCCCAGAGCCCCCCCGACAGCCCCCCAGCACCCACCCCTCCCAGGGCCCAGAGCCCCCCAATAGCCCCCCAGCACCGCCCTCTCCCCTGGGCCCAGAGCCCCCCCAGCGCCCACCCCTCCCGGGCCCAGAGCCCCCCCCAAGGAAAGAGCCCCCCCGACAGCCCCCCAGAGCTGACCTCCCGTGCTGGACAAAGAGCCCATCTCAATGCCCCCCCTTTCCAGCGCCGACCCCCCCCTGCTGGGCCCAGAGCCACCCCCCAACACTTTTGCAGCTCTGGCCTCCCTCCACAGAGCAACGAGCCACTCCCCTGACAAGTCCTCCCAGGGCTACCCCCCCTGCCAGGCCAAGAGGCCCCTGACCCCCCTTCCAGTGCCAACACCCCTGTCAGGCAAAGAGACACCTCCCATTGGGCCAAGAGCCCTCCTGCCACCTCCCTGAATGCTGGCCCCCCTCTGCTGAGCAAAGAGCTCCCCGCCACCTCCAGCACCGACCCCCTGTGCTGGTCAAAGAGACATAACGTAAGAATGGCCACACTGGGTCAGACAAAGGTCCATCCAGCCCAGTGTCCTGTCTGCTGACAGTGGCCAATGCCAGGTGCCCCAGAGGGAATGAACAGAACAGGGCATCTATCTAGTGATCCCTCCTGTCACTCATTTCCCAACATCTGGGACTTGGAGCTTTAGGGACACCCTGAGCATGAGGTTGCATCCCTGACCATCTTGGCTAATAGCCATTGATGGAGCTGTCCTCCGTGAACTTATCTAGTTTGAACCCAGTTATACTTTGGCCTTCACAACACGCCCTGGCAACGAGTTCCATGGGTTGACTGCATTGTGTGAAGGAATACTTCCTTCTGTTCATTATGAAGATGCCTGTTAATTTCATTGGGTGACCCCTGGTTCTTGTTTTATGTGAAAGGATAAAATTACATTTCCCTATTCACTTTCTCCCCACCATGATTTTATAGACCTCACTCATATCTCCCCTTAGCCGTCTCTTTTCCAAGCTGAAAAGTCCCAGTCTTACTAATCTCTCCTCATACGGAAGCCGTTCCATACCCCTAATAATTTTTGTTGCCCTTTTCTGTACCTTTTCCAATTCTGATATATCTATTTTGAGATCGGGAGACCAGAACTGCAAGCAGTATTCAAGATAGGGGCATACCATGGATTTATATAGTGGCATTATTATATTTTCTGTTTTATTATCTATCCCTTTCCTAATGTTCGCTTTTTTGATTGCTGCTGCACATTGAGTGGATGTTTTCAGAGGACTATCATTTTGTATGTATAGTTGGGATTATATTTTCCAATGTGCATTACTTTGCATTTATCCGCATTGAATTTCATCTGCCATATTTGTTGTCCAGTCACCCAATTTAGCGAGATCCCTTTGTAACTCTTTGCAGTCAGCTTTGGACTTGACTATCTTAAGTGATTTTTGTATCATCTGCAAACTTTGCCACCTCACTGTTTACTCCTTTTTCCAGATCATTTATGAATATGTTGAACAGCACTGGGTCCAGTACAGATCCTTAGGGGACCCCGCTATTTACTGCTCTCCCTTGTGAAATCTGGTCTTTTTTTCTTACGCTTTATTTCCTATTTTTTAAGCGATTCTGATCCACGAGAGGACCTTCCCCCTTATCCCGTGACTGCTTACTTTGCTGAAGAGCCTTTGGTGAGGACCCTTGTCAAAGGCTTTCTGAAAGCCCAAATACAGTATGCTGCCTGTATCTTGTCCATATGTTTACTGACCTCTCCGAGAATTCTAATAGATTTGTGAGGCAGGATTTCCTGGAACATAAGCCATGTTGACTTTTCCCCAGTGTATCATGTTCATCTGTGAATCTGATCATTCTGTTCTTTATTATAGTTCCAGCCAGTTAGCCTGGTACTGAAGTTGGGGTTACCGGCCTGTAATTGCCAGGATTGCCTCTGGAGACTTTTTTTTTTTTTTTTTTAAATTGGCATTACATTAGCTATCCTCTAGTCATCTAGTACTGAGGTTGATTTAAGCAGTAGGTTACATACCACAGTTAGTTCTGCAATTTCGTATCTGCATTTTGTCTGAACTCTTGGGTGAATGCCATCTGCTTCCGGTGACTCTTTTATTTATCAGTTTGTTCCAAAACCTCCACTATTGACTCCTCAATCTGGGACAGTTCCTCAGATTTGTCACCTATAAAGAATGGCTCAGGTATGGGAGTCTCCCTCACATCCTCTGCAGTGAAGACTGATGCGAAGGATTCATTTAGCTTCTCTGCAATGGCCTTGCCTGCCTGGAGTGCTCCTTTAGTGCCTCATTCACCAGGTGCCTCCCGACTGGTGGCTTCCTGCTTCTGATGTGCTTGAAACAGTTGTTGCTGTTTGTTTTTAAGTCTTTTGCTAGTTTCTCTTCAGCTTCGCTCAGGGCCTGCCCATTTATACTTCTGCACGTGATTTGCCAGAGTTCATGCTCCTTTCTATTTTCCTCACTAGGGTTTGACGTCCAGTTTTAAAAGGATGCTTTTTTTTTTTTTTTTTTTTTGCCTCTAACTGCCTCTTTTACTCTGTTGTTTAGCCCTGGTGGCGTTTTGTTGGTCTTCTTACTTTTTTTCTTTTATTTGGGGGATACATTTTGTTTGAGCCTCTGTTATGATGTTTTTAAAAGATCTCCCGGCAATATGCAGGCATTTCACCCTTGTGACTGTTCCTTTTAACTTCCATTTAAGTAGCTCCCTCATCTTTGTGTAGTTCCTCTTTTTGAAGTTAAATGCTACTGTGGTGGGTTTCCTTTGGCAGTTTTCTGCCTACCCGAGATGTTAAATTTAATTATATTATGGTCACTCTTACCGAGCAGTCCAGCTATCTTCACCTCTTGGACCAGAACCTGCGCTCCATTTAGGACTAAATCAACAATTACCTCTCTCCTTGTGGTTCTTGCACATACTGCTCCAAAAGCTGTCATATATGGTGTCTAGAAGTGTTATCTCTGCATCCTTTCCTGAGGTGGCACATACCAAGTCAATATTAGACTAGTTGTAATCCCACATTATTACTGAGTTTTCTTCCTTTGTAGTTTCCCTCATCTCCCCGAGCATTTCACAATTGCTGTCCCCATCCTCGTCAGGCGGTCAGTAGTGTATTCCCACTGCTATACTCCCACTCTTCAACCATGGAGTTAGTTTCACGCTAGCAGGTTTGGGGTGTTATTTATTGAGAGTTATTGGGCTAAGCTTAGAGGATGTTTGTGAGATGTATCCTCTCTCCTCCCCCCAGTATATTTCTTTTATAAGGAGCTTTTTGTGGCAGGTTATAGTGCGTCAGTCCCCTGCCCTGCTGCTGAACTCTTACTCCAGCCAAACTCCTTACCTGGGCAGCTCACTCTGCCGGGTGCTCTCTCACTGTCAAGGCTCTCTGCTTGGTGCAGGACCTGGCAGGAATGCTGCTCTAAACTCCCTCCCTTTGCTGCTCCTCTGCTCACCTGGGAGCTGTTTTTTTTAACCTCCCCGTTCAACCTGATTTAGCCCTGCCCCTTGTCAAAGGCCCCTCCCTCAAAGGCCCCCACCTACTAACCAGGCTCCGTTCACCAGCTGCTCAGGTCCATACCAAGCCACTCTCTCCTCGTTCAGCCCCCAGCTCTCAGCCCTGTCCTTCTCTGATGCCCACAGGGAAGGAATAATAGTGGAGCCACCCAGCAGTGCCCATGCCAGAGCTGAGTGAGCGGGGCTGCTCTGCAAGCCCTTTGCTGAGTGGTGGGTGTTCCCAGGGCTTGCCGTTTGGTCTGCAAGTGGATCTGCTTGATTTGAACTGGTGCACAGGGCCCAATGCAAGGGTTCCGGGTGTGGTGACGTGCCCAAGTGCTGCTGTGTTATACCTGCTCCCTCTCCCCAGAGCAGCCATTAGAGGAACCCCCCTCCAGCAAGCCCTGGCTAGGTGGACCATGAGTGCCCATGATGGGGATCAGCCTAGGCAGGAGAACCTGGAAACGACTGGGGCTTGAGTCCAAGCTCTGCCGTCACATGTCAGACACACTATTTTTCCTTGACAGCTGCAATGAGTTTGTTGATTCTTGGTTCTTTCTTTTAATTGAGCATGTGGCTCCCGTGTCATGGTTGCTTCTGCCTAATAGGGATCCTGAAGCAGGTTGGGAGAGGTGATTTTGGGACAACTGTGCTGTTGGGCAAGAAGAGTTACCCCCTACATCTCAGAAACAAAACAATGTTGGCAGCACCAGGCTGTCCGGAAATCAGTTTATTGAAAAAGTAAAAAGTATTTTCAAAGTAACAAAAAGAACCTGGCCACCAGGTCAACCCATTGGATGCTATGGTAGAAAAGCAAAGCTATAAGCTCAATCCAAAATAGGTCTTTTAACACTGACATTATGACAAGATATCTAATCTGTACAGCATCACAAGCCCCCTTGAGAGCTGGGCTAACCTTCTCTCTCTCTGCCCCTGGACGGACAAGGGTTATTCTGAGGAGCTGCAGCTCAAAGAAACAGCTGTAATGCTTCCAGTGAGACAGCGCCACCTGGGCCCTACAGCACACCCCTTCCACACAGCAGAGCCCACCCCATGCCAGCTCACCCCCTGCTTCAGTGACCACACACCAGCGCCAGCCAGAACCAGTGCGTCCAGCCACTGCCCTTTTGGCCAATCCAGTTTTAGCTGAAGATGGACACTGGCTCTGCGGTGGAGCTGAGAGCAGTGGAGAAGGGTCAGTTTCTCCCATTGGTGCACCTGGCGATCCGGGGGTCCTGCAGTACAGTTATTGGGTGAACTCTCTCTGTCTCTAGGCTCTCCTACGCACACGTTACAGCAAGACTCTCGGCTTTCCCTAGACGTCCCAGCTGCCCTGATCAGCAGCCCCGAGGACTGACGACCACACTGCCCCTCCTCCGCTGCTGGAGAGTCTGAGCGAGAGGGGCCCCACGCCAGGAAGAGACTCCTCAGTCCATCCTGGCAGCTTTAAAGAGCTCCACAAGGTCCTTGGAGTCAGCGTCAATGAGGTCAGATGGCTTCTCCCCTTCGTCATTGGTGGCATCAAGCCTGGCCCCTAAAGAGATGAGGTACCTGCAGGAGACAGAGGGAAGGGGCTGCACTGGCGGGCAGGGGTGCTGGAACAATGTGTACAGGGGGAGCCTGAGGGCCTCTGACCCAAACTGCAAACCCTGTGTATAATGGAATCCACTGCAAGCCAGGGGACACAGCAGCACCCAATTCCAGCACCTATGCTGGCGGGTGGGCAAGGCAGCCCAGCGGGGGAGAGCAGACGAGCTTCCAACACCACTTCCTGTAGACAGCCCCAGTTCCTGCAGGACACGGGGCTCCAGGCCTCAGCAGGAAACACTCGGCCTTGGCAACTACCAGGTACACATAGGGTTGCCAACCCTTCAGGACTGGCCTGGAGTCTCCTGGAATGGGCATCGATCTCCCGGTGACTATTGAGAGTAACCCAGGAGATTTTAAGAAAATAATATTACGTCATGTTGGGAAAAAAATCTCCCAGAATAGCTTCAGTCAGAGTTGGCAACCCTAGATACACAGGGTGTAGGGCAGGCTCCTCCTCCACAGCCCCATGCCAACACCCTGCCCGCCATCTCCCAGAGACCCAGACCAGCATCCTGCCTCCCCAGAGCCCCAAGTCAGCACACCCTGCCTCCCCTCTCCTCCTGGAGACCCAGGCCAGCACACCCTGCCTCCCCTCTCCTCCTGGAGACCCAGGCCAGCGCACCTGTCCCCCTACTCCCGGAGACCCAAGTCAACACACCCTGCCCCCCTCCTCCCAGAGCCCCAAGTCAGCACACCCTGCCTCCCCTCTCCTCCTGGAGACCCAGGCCAGCACACCCTGCCCCCTCTCCTCCTGGAGCCCCAGGCCAGCGCACCTGTCCCCCGACTCCCAGAGCCCCAAGCCAGCACACCCTGCCTCCCCTCTCCAGGAGCCCAGGCTGGCCAGGTAACTGTCAGCAGGGCTAAGCCAAGCACATGGTGACTGGCGGGTGCTGACCTGGCTATGTGGGTGTGGCCATCGCTGCAGGCCACATGCAGGGGGGTCCAGCCATTCTCATCCTTCTGGTGTATATCCGCGCCGTATCGCACCAGCAGTTTGACACAGTCGAGGTTCCCGGAGAGCACGGCTTCATGGAGGGCTGCCATGCCTAGAGAGGGGACTCATCAGCTGCAGGGCCTGACCTGCCTGGCCATGGGGAGCAGAGGGACCTGCCCACACTGAGCCAGGGCGCTGCCCCTTGGGTTCTGGGACATGAGGCGGCAGGAGCTTTGGGAGGAGACAGTGGAGGGCAGAGAGGGGAAAGGGCCCCAGCTCGGAAATGCCCAGCTCCCTTCCCCCCACCCCAGAAAGGAGCTGGCATCAGGTCATATTTTCCCCTTACTGGGGTAAATGGCTCCTTGAATGGCTCAGGCTCTGTAGCCCCCCGCTCCACTGAGCCAGGCAGGGAGAGCTGGGTGGGGGGAAGGGGTTGGTCAGTGACATGCCAACCCACCCCCGAGCTCTGCCACTAATAGCCTGCATGTCTCCTCCAGGCCTCGGCCCTGAGTCCCCCCCCGCTGGATGTGGGCACACAGTTCAGAACCAGGGCTGAAGTAATCTGTGTGGGAGCTTGGCACCCAAGCCAGGCTATTTTAGAGAGGGTCTCCAGGGCCTTTTCTGACAGAGGCTGAGGCAGACCCACAAGCGGCAACCGGGTAATAATGACACAGGCCGTCACACCGTCCCCGCCCGCACCAACTATTCCTCGGACTAGCCCCAGCCCTACATGCAGGCAGCAGAGTACGGGGAAAGTCACTCAGTGAGTCAGCAGCAGAGCTGGTAACCAAACCGAGGAGTCCTGGCTCCTCCTCTAACCATAAGGCCCCATTCCCTTCCCAGAGTTGGGAACCCAGGAGTCCTGGCTCCTAGTCCAGTGCTCTAGCCACCAGCTCATGTTACTTCTTTGGGCCTCTCCATTGCCGTTCCCCTCCCTGACTCTGGCCATTCGCACTTTGTAGTCACCGTACATGGTGCTGTGCACATCAAGAGGCAAGGTCCTGGGCTTTAACCGTTCTGCACTGAAGGGCTGGCTCTGTCCATGTCTGCTGGGGTGATGCATTCCCACACTACTGGGTGCCCATCAGCCTGGCATCTGGTACTGGGCTAGCTCCTCCCAGAGGGATTGAAACACTTGGCTCCTATTGATGCTAGACAGGGAATGGGAGCAAGACCTCCTCCACCACCACCAGCCCGTGACTTAATTACAATGGAGTGAAAGTCTAACGTCCTGCTCTGCATGGGGTAAGGCTGTGCCTGGCACATCCCCTGCAGGGGCAGGCTTCCCCACCTGGGAACCCCCTGTTGCCGCCCACCCATTAGCTCTGCCAGCACTGCAGGTGTTACTCACCGGAGGGGTAGAGGGTGCTCAAGGTGACCTTCCTAGCTCGGATAAACCTGCCCACCTGCTCCAGGTCCCCCAGTCTGATGCTGTCCTGGAAGACAATGTCGTTGGGGAAGCGCACCGTCCGTGCAGGCTTGGGGCGCTGGGAGCACCCGCGGTCCTGGGGCAGTGAGGCCGGCTCATAGTATTTCATACTGGTGGGCACCCTGTGAAGCCGGTGAGACGGCACAAGGGCAGAGACACAGTGAGACTGTGACAGCCTGGGTGAGCAGGTGCGGGAGACAGCACGGAGCCCCGGCTCTGTGTCAGAGCACTGCACACTCTTCGCCCCTGTTCTGGTCGCTTCCTCCTCCGACCAAAGTGAGCCGGAGCCACTAGTTCTGCTGGGGCCTCTCCTGGCAGCCGCAAGCAGCCACCCTCTAGAGCAGCAAGGAAGCTGGGTGCTCCCAGTCCCCGCTGAGCTCGGTGCCAGACCCCCTGCTCAGGGCTGAAGGGCTCCCCCAGCACCCCCCCTTATATAGCCTCCTGCTGGCTATTTTGGGGACATCCAGCTCATGCTATTTGCCATGAGGTGCTGTAATAGAGCTGCCCTGCCCTCCAGCCTCCCACTTTTGGCACAAGTTAGCGTCTCATCTTACAGCCTACTTGTTGACGAGCCCATCTAAAGGGTCAAGCTGTCTGCTGCCTATGCACGTGCAGCCCTGGTACCTGGCCCCTGCAGGCTCCCTGTGGCATGGAAACCAGGACTACCAAAAGAAAAGGCAAGAGTCCATTAGGAACAGGCCTGGTAAACCAGAGACTGATGCATGCAGCAGCCTGCAGAGGCGTGAAACAGTGATGTGTCAAAGCCACAGAAGCCAAGTTAGTGCTGAGGTCATTCCCTTGCCGATGCCTGTGGCCGATCTCCGCTCCTCAAGGCTGGAGCTGCACTGCTGCGGTTCATGGCTGTGCTTGGGCTTGAGCGTCAGAGCTGTAGATCCCATACAGTGGGCATGAGCGCTGGTCCTGGAAGCAGAAGCCCAGCAGCAGAGCAGCACCTCTTGGAGGTCAGCTCGCCCCAGGAACTGCTGGCCCAGGCTGCTTGCAGGGCCAGGCAAGAGAATAGCACCCAGAGCAGAGTTTCAGAGACTCCAGGAACACCTACCGCAGGCACCTGCTGCGTTCTCTGCTCCCCCAGCACCGGTCAAAGGGCTGAACTGGACCATCTGCTGGGTGAGGATCCTCACAGATCAATTATGTCAAAGGCTATGATTTACTCATGGGTATTTTTAGTAAAAGTCAAGAACAGGTCACTGGCAATAAACAAAAATTACTGTCCATGACTTATACCTGTAACTAAATCGGGGGAGTGGGGAGGGCATGCTGCTCAGGGGCCCAGCAGCACCAGTGACTGCTCTGGCCAGCCACCTGGTGCCACAGACCATGGCTGCTCACGCCACCCTGGGCCTGCTGTCAGGGGCCATCCGAGCAGCAGCTGGTGTGGCTGTCCCTAAGGCCAGCTGCTTGAGTGGCCCTGGGATCAGCCACACTGGCTGCTGCAGAAGTCCCTGAGGTCATGGGAAAATCACAATCCACAACAGACACAGCCCTAGTTACGGTGACTAGAGCAGCAGAGGGGTTCCAGCAACATCTCCTCTCCCAGTCCCCTCCCATTGCAAGGGCGATTGCTTCAGCTATGCTGAAACTGTTTAGTTCTGTTAACCTCAGTGCCCAGGGGTTATCCATGCCCTGTACTGGCTGGAGAGCCTTGCGAGAGGGCAAGGGCCAACAAAAACATGATGTTCCTTTGGGAGCTGCCAGCAGAGGTTCAGCACGAAGTCAGCCATGCAGCAACTCCTGTGAACTCAACAGCTGGGCAGGCAGCAAATGGTCATCACTGCTAGTTCTCAGCTGAGAATCACTCACACTATTTATTTCCTTGCTTCCCCCAGACCCACCCCCATTTGTTAGACAGACTCTAGGCTCTTTAGGGCAGAGACTCAGGCTTAGGAGCGATCCCTCAGATCACAGATTTGGGGAGAGACAGCTCATACCACTGGATCAGTTGTCCAGGCTCATGCCTGTGCTCAGAGGGCAACCACTAAAGAGCTCAGCCTTGTTTGTGTCAGACAAACCCAGGTGTAAAGGGCTCAGGCTACATACCCCTCCAGAAAATCCCATTTTGTGGGTGGGTGAGGTAACCAGCCAAAAAGCCTTTGCAAAGTAACCATCTTAAGACTCTTTCTCCCCTCCCACCAGAATGTGCAAAGCAGCTGCTTCCACAAAGGGAACAGGTATCAGTGGCCAGCTTCCCGCTGGGCACAGGTGCTGCCTGGTAAATAGTGGGGTAGCCAAGTGGTAATAGGACTTCCTATGGTTCCCTGTGCAGGATGGAGCCCAAGCAGCAGAGCCAGCAGATGGGGAAAGCTTGGGGAACACCCCAGCACACACCTACTTTGGAAGTTGTAGCACTTTCACACGTTACATGCTTAAAGAAAATAGCCTTGGAGACCGAAGTCCTCCACCTAACAGCTCAACCAGCAAAGCAAAGCGCCCCACGCAGGCCTTGTGGCTCAGGTAGAAGGACCCTCCTTACAGCCTAATCCGGTGGCCTCCTTACTACTGAGTGTGGTGGCTTTTGCTTGGTGAATGCCTGTGCACATGGAGTGACTGAGAAACTAGGGAGTTAAGTTATGATCACAATTCAGGGTGAGGCTCTGTCCCCATCCCCTAGTTGCTGGAGGCACCAGTTCTCTACACCTACATGAAAGGGAAGGCAGCAGGAGGATGTGGCATGACCCTCCTCCCTCCTGTGACCCAGAATATTTGTTTACAAGAATATTTCTGGTGGTCAGTAGCTAGCTTGGTAATAGCAGGGAGACTCAGTAGGATCATGTGACCCTTAGCAGCATAGCAACAAACACCAAGTTCTCTGAATGCAGGTTCCTGGGATTAACTCTGAGGATAATGATGTCCCATCATTTCCACTAGTGCTTTCAGCCAGGGGCATTTGGGATTGATTAGTACCTCAAGCATCCACATCCATGCTCACCTGCTGGCAACACAGGTTGTGTCTTAGTAGGCAGCTACCACACAAGTGCAGGCAGGTTTAGACAGGGTATTAGAGATCCTGGCATAAAATGGCTGGAATACTATTTGTATTCCAACCGCACCCAGAGGCTGCTCTCAGGAGCAAGGGAGATTTTCCCTAGTTGCTCCCATTCAGACCTATGGCAGTCCAGACATTTCATTTCCAACAGCCAGGTGGCATCAACTGCTGTGGGGCAGGTGAACAAAGTGGACTCTGGCTTCCAAGTATATGGTATTGGCCCAACACTGGTCTGCAAGGGGACAAGGCTTGAGCCTTTGGGCCAAGCATGTTTGGGTCTAAGACCATCACACTGTCTGGCTGGACAGTTGAAGGCAAGCTGGTGTGGTATTGCAGAAGTTTATTTTATGGATCCCTTTAATAAGTGATTGACTCAATGCTCCTCTCACCAACTTCTTGCATTGCACATCATGGCAATGATTTGGCTCCTGTACAGCACTGCATGTTTCAAGTGGAGGGTCAATATCACTCTTGTAAGGACAGGGAAAAGGAGGTTTAGGGATTTTATCCCAATCACCAAGTCAGCTGCAGGACTCCTTCCCCCACATTCAGACCTCTGAGTCTCTTGCAGAATTCCAGCTGGGGGATCAGGAAACTGGCTGATTATAAAATGAGCTCTGGGTTTGACATTTAGAGTTAAAGACAGGATAGTATTAAAATCTCAACTTTATTTGGCCAACAAGTTCAGCTCCAACATTGTGGTGGAATGCTTAGAACAAGCCTGATTTCACTCAGACTTTCACAGCACTCCCCTGTTCCCAAGTCCCCACTCCCTACAACCCAGTAATCAGAAGTGTCCTGTTTGCTGCATTCTATCAAGCCCCCACCCCAGTACCACCCTGTCTGCCCAGAAACCCTCTCTCCCACACAAAAAAATGCACAGAAAATGACTGAGGAACAGAGTCTTGTTTGACCAGGGAGATGGTGGCAATGCCATTAGGTCCTGTCTATGCAGGTGAGCCAGCAGTTGGGTCTTCCCTCCCCAGAGCCTGCCACAGCCAATGCTGGCAGAATGCTCCACCCTTCCTGATCTTTGGAACAGTCATCTCCATTCGTCTTTCCAAGGGAAAGGCAAATAAGACCTTTAGCCATGCAATGATGTGTTAAAGGGGAACATCTGCCCACTCCCCTGCCCCTGGGACCCCTGAAGTCAGGTTAGTGGTTTTCCTCCCACAGAAGGATGGCAATTCCAGGGAAGAAGAGCTGAGACAATAGTTAGGGCTCTGCCAGGTGGAGAGTAGTTATGGCCTTTAGCTCTAGAAGAGAAAAAAACTAAGCTTGTCTAGGAGGCATTACTGGTGAGGCTCTGAAATGTCAGGCAGTGAGTCTCATGCTGCCACTTCACAGCCCACTCCTACCCAGAAGAACAGAACACTTGGAACAAATCCATGTACAAAAAAGTACATCACAATAAAAAAAGTAAGAGGCCCAGGTGCCTGGGCAGCTACCTAGCGACAGACCCCTTCTCAGAACTGAAAAGTAAGAGGAGACAGTCAAGTGTACAGACAAGTTAGGATGAAGTGTTACTTTAAACCAATCCCTGCATTTCCAGCCAACACCTTCTAGTTTAAATCTGAATGGGTTTCTGGACTCGCTAGGCCCTGTGACAGGGCAGCCAGTGTAGTGTCTGCTCTTTGGGATATGCAGATTAGAGTCTCCTCTTTACAGTTCATCTTTGTGGATCTTCTGGTCCTCCTCACCTTCCTCAAGATCAGTCTCATCAGCCTCATCAGCCTCCAGGTCCTCCAGATCCTGTTTAAATACAACATTTGTCAACAGCTGCTGGTTCTGATCTGGCACAATGCAGACAGGACCCTGGAGCCCCAGATTTAGGCACAGCAGTCAGGCTGCTGAAGCACCATCTCCTACCCTACACACTCCAGTCCAATCCATGCTCTGCTCCACCTGGCATGTTAATGGCAACAATCATTACACTGGCCATTCAGGGAACTCAAACTCATTTGAGATCAGTGTTAAAAAAAATCCCAGAGTCACATAAAAGCCAGTAGTTAGAGAACAATGGACAGGGGCCCTAAAGGCAGAAGGAAGTGGTGAATCATGACACTGTATATGCAGTACAGACTGCTCATGTTACTAGGGATTGGATAGGAGAATCTGAATGCATTGGCCACAGATAATTACAAGAGACCAGCATCTCTCCCTTCAGAACTTGAGCCTGTTAAAATGAACAAAGAGAAACTGAATTTAGGAATACTAGTGCACAGGCTGGCAGGAAGGGGAGCAGCCTTACTCCAGAAGCAGAAAGGGGACTACCACCTGCTGATGGGCTGTCCTGCCACCATGGTGGGCCTAACAGCAGAGGCAGCAATCTCACATGGGTCTAGAACCACAGACACAGCTGGCCAAGGCAGAGGGATTTATATGGAGAGGAAGATCCTGAACCAAGTACGGGCTTTGAGCCTTCGAGCACCTCACTGTGGTGACCAGAGATGGGAAAGGCAGGGCTACATGGATTTAACAGATTAATGATCCCTCAGTTCACATTCATGTGTTCAGTGTTGCCACTGCCCACACAGCATTTACCCTGCTGGGAAGAACCAGAAGTGGCTCTTGAAGCCAGGACCTATTGTAGGGCTTTAAGTCCTAATGCTGCTACCAACTCCACACACTTTGCAAGCACTGCAAACCAAGGCTCCCCAATGAATGGGCTACTCACCTCTTCATCCCCAGCACCATCCTGGCCTCCACTTTCCAGGAACTTCTGGAAGCCTTCTAGCGTCCTCTCCCCATTGTAGTGTATGACCTGTAGGGGAAAAGCCAAGAGAGATGCTGCTTAACCCAAACAGAATCAAGCCCTTGGGGGGGAACAATATTCTTTCTGAACAGCAGTTTTCAAAAATGCCAAGCAAGAGGAAATGTAAAATTCACCTTCACCCACATGAGACGAAGCAGCAGCTCAGCCACTAGATCTCAGATTGCTGCGAGAAGACAGCCTGCAGATGAGCACACTGTCCTCTGCTGCACCCATGTCTGCCCTGGCTGTCTCCCTCACCCTCCTACAACTCAGCCCATCCCCCAAAGGGCCACCAAAGCCATTTGGAATGTGCCAAACCAACCTTTTCAAATCTGAAAGCACATCTCCCAAATGGGTGCTAGAGCCCCAGGCACTCGAGAGCAGAACGAGGCTCTAAGTTTCTAGCTCTCCCTTGCTCGAGATGATCCACCCACAAGTCCCTGGAATTCAGCAGCCTGCTTACATTTTTGCCAGGGCCTGCAGGGAAGAACTTGAGTGTGGGAAAACTGTGGACTTTCACCGTCTCCACTTCGTTAGCTGTTGAGTCCATCTTGGCAATGACAATGTTCTCATGGTCCTTGTAAGTCTCTCCCAGTTTGTCCCAGATAGGAGCCAGTTGTTTGCAGTGACCACACCAGGGAGCATCTGTAAATTAAAAGGCAACATGAAGCTTGGAGGCCACCCAGACAAGGGGAAGGGCTGGGCCCTCCACTCTGATGCTTGCCAGCCTAGTCTTAGCCCTGCAGTAAAGGAGAATCTCCCCTTCCAGTTAACATGTTCCTCTTCCAGGTCATCCAGCTCCTGGGGGAAGGTGGTTCCTCCCCATATACCATCCCCAACTGGGCTGCTTTCCTGCAATTTGTTATTCAGCATGTTCAAAATACTCACAGAACTCCACAAACACATTCTTGGTCTCATCAAAAGCAACATCTTCAAAGTTCTTTCCAACCAGAACTCTGACAGGCTGTTTGTCCCAGTCATCAGGCAAATCTTGGCTCATCAGGTGGGGCTGGAATTGGAGAACAGGGACTGAACCTGCATGCATATAGCAATGTGGAATGTGCAGACGAAATCATGCTCCCAGGAAAACCCGACTTCTCCCAGACATGGAACAGATCAGCCATGGGCTATAAGCAGTCAGCTGAGTCAGTCATTTCCTCCTCTCATGGAGAATCCCCCACCCCCTAACCTTGACATGTCTGAACTGCTGGTGCCCCTGCATGGGAAAGGCTGCAGCTGAGTTCTTCAGATGGGAAGTTTGTTCATTAAGTGTGAATTACTGAGAAAGTCATTCCCAGTGTGACATTGGAACAGAGCCCCATTTGAAATCGCTACTGTGCTAGGCTATGCATAGCTACCTCAATCTTCAGATTAAGACTGAGGATTCCCACCATGAGCAAGAGGCTACAAAGTTCTCAGCTGGCTGAGAAAACAGGAGTAGCAGCTGCAGCATGCAACACCAGGGCATATGAAGTGCAGAGACAGGAACCACGCTTTATTGTGGTTGCCTTCATATGCTGAAAAAATAGTTATTTCTGTGCTGGCACCATGCCCCACTGGCTCTGCCCTTTGGATGTCAGCATGTGGCTCACTAGATACTATGCCATTAAACATACTACAAAGCTAATTTGAAAGGAATCTCCCCATGTGACCTGTAAAAGGTTTCACACAAATTCTTAGAGCAGGGATCACTCCCACATCTCCGCTTATGTCAGGGTCCAAAGAACAGCATTCGGCCCCTTACCTTGACTTTGCCCTCCAGGAACTGGTCACAGAACTCCTTGATCTTCTCTGCTGTCAGTTCATCTGAGTCAGGTTTGTATTTAGTCATTTCTTCCTCCAGAGTGATGAGGCGCACAGCTGGGCACTCCTCCTTCTTTAGGCCAAAGAACTCCAGGATCCTCTGGTTGTCGCTATGGTCACTGTCTATGAAGATGAACAGGATCTTTGGAGGAAAGTCAAATGTAGATATTAAAGACATGAATGAATTTCTATGGTAGCAACTCTGCTATAAAGTCACTTCCCTACCCCCTTGAGCCCATGGCAGAATGTGGGCCACTTTATTCCAGTACAACTCTGGGGCTGTAGTGGCCAAAGCAATGTGCATGAATACAAACACCTTTGTGTGCCACAAGTTACATTAGAGGGCTATTTCACACCAGTCAGAAGGAAAAAAAATCAAGAGTCAAGCTGCCACTCTAACCTAATACACCCTCCTCAATGGGATCTATATATAGCAGCAAGTGACTAAGGCGCCTGGCTATTGGGAGATCCAAATACAGAAAGAAGGAGACCGAGGGAGATGTTAGAAATCAGTGCTACTTAATGCTCTGCATGGGCTAGGAGTGACTGCCCTTCTCACCTTCCCTTTGAAGTTCCCAGCTGCTGTCTTGAAGTTGTCTAGTTTCTCTTGATAGTCATCAACACTCTTTGGCAGGAACAGCAGGATGTGAGTCTTGATCTCTCCTCCAAAGATCTTTGGAGCAGTCTGGGAGAAATACAACAAACTCCATATTAGGAGGACAAATAATCCCAGGGCCAGAGCCAATGGGCTTTTCTGCCCTGATGGTGCCAAGGGCAAGAATAGCACCAAGGCACCAAGAATATAAGTGCCACTCTGAGGAGCACTTATCCTGGGCTCCCTCTTGGGTCTCCTGCTTAATCTAGGCACAGTAGGCTCCAGGCCAGAAGGAAAGAGCTTCCTATCCATAGTCTTATGGGCTCAGAACATGTGAGAGAGACTGAAGAGCTGATTATGTACTGGAAGGCCATACCTGTTCAGTGAACTCAATGACCAGA